ATTGCTTGGCACCAACAAGAAGGCCCTGGCTCCATCCTCTTCACACCCTTCCTTCAGATATTTGTGTGCATTGATGAGGTCCCCTCTCAGTCTCTTGTCAAGACTGAACAGGCCCAGCCTTCTCAGCCTTCTCTCATAAGAGAGACGCTCCAGTCACTTAATCATATTTATTGCCCTCCCTGGGCTTGCTCCACGAGCTCCATGCTTCTCTGGCACTGAAGAGCCCAGAACTGGGCACAGCACTCCAGATGTGACCTCACCAGGGCTGAGCAGAGAGGCAGGATCACCTCCCTCGACCTGCTGCCAATGCTCTTCCTGATGGTCCCCAGGACACCATTGACCTTCTTGGCCCCAAAAGCACACTGCTTTTTCATGGACAGTTTGTTGTCCACCAAGACCCCCTGGTCCTTCTCTGCAGAGCTGCTTTCCAGCAGGTTGTCCCCAGTCTGTGCTGGTGCCCAGGTTTGTTCCTCACGAAGGGCAGGATTCTGCGTTTGCTTTCATTGCATTTCAAATGGTTCTTCTGTGCCCATCCCTCCAACCTGTCGAGGTCTTTCCAAAGGGCTGCACAGCACTCTGTGCTATCAGCCACTTCTCCCAGCTTTGTGTCATTAGAACTTGCTGAGGAGGCATCTGCCCCTTCATCCAAGTCCTTGATGAAGGACAGTAGTGGGCCCAGAATTGAACCTTGGGGGACACCACTAGTGACAGGTCCCTGTAACTTGTCAAGGAAACTATTTTAAGATACTGGCAGGAAACCAAAGCAGCACACCCCCTCCATTGTATGTTACAGGGTGATCTTACTGTTTACCCACAGGGTAGTGCTGGCATTAGAAAGGATTCCTTTCACTGGGACAGCTGTTCCACCGAGGCATTCAAACGGGAACAGTGGTGGGAAGCAGAGACTGTTGTTGGCCTCTGAGGAGTTAGAGGCTTATGCTTCCAAACTGCCAGCATCCCACAACTTGTTCACATGACTCCATAAAGAAATGCAGGGAACAGCCCTGCAGTCAGGATCTTGGCCTGCAGCAACCCTCTCTCCCATTGATTTAGAAAGGTCAGTGTAAGCAAGCAAACAATTTTATTTTCCAGGAAGAAGCAATTAAAGCAGCACAAAGAAATCAGATACTGGAACAACAGAAAAAATATCAGAAATATATGAACAAAACACAGTTCAGGAGTACAAAAGTGTTGATGGAGAAATGTGCACCAGAAAATTTGCATCAGTAGCTTAAGACTCTAGTTTTGCTATGCTGCCTAAATCTTAGTAATAAACTTTGTGGAATATTACTCCTACACTAACATTTATTTTTAATTTTCTAAATACTTGACACTGTTTCAAATCCTGAGTCAATTAGTTATATCTTATTTTAAACATGTATGTTAGAGAAAGAATTTGTGCATTGCTGGTTTGTCTTTAGGTGCTGTTGTGTATTTTTCATTTATATAAACATTTAAAATAGTAAGTGTAAGGATCACAGAGAGTCAGAATAATGCCATGAGTGTATGAATATTATAGGCAGGTAGATCAGATAGTTCCCTAGACCATTTGTTGTAATCCAAACTTGACCAAAACTTTTTATTACAGATCTTGTTTCAGTGCTTTAGTCCCTCTATCTTATCTGTGGTCTCCCTCACATTGTCTGTATGAGGGAGAGTATGTTAATGCCATTGATCTGTAAACAACAGCAGTATGAAATCTTTAGCAAATGTTATGTGTGTCTGGTTCATCTCCATTTCAGGTCATAAATCATTGGGGTTTGGATTTTGTTTATGGTTTTTGCTTTGTTGTGGGTTTTTTTTGTTTGTTTGTTTGTTTGGGTTTTTTTTTGGTTGGTTTTTCTGGGTTTTGGGGTTGTTTGGTTCAGGGGAGGGTTTGTCTTTTTTTTTTTTTTTTTTGTGTGTGTGTCTGTTTTTGGGGGCGTGCTTGGGTTTTTTTGTGGATTGGTTGGTTGGTTGGTTTGTTTTGTTTCATTGGGTTTTTTCCCTGCTGTTTATTGCAGCAGGAGGAGTTCAGAGAGGGAGTTTATTTTTTCCAGCTAGAGCAGTGTGTTTCTGCATTGTTAGCTTCATGATTATGATGAAAGACTGCTCTAGGAGAGGCAGGTGTTTGGGAGGATGTTTAAAGGACCACCAAACTCTGAGAAGTGTTTCCAGTCCAGACTCTTCAACAGAAAATATATCCCCTGTTCTCATGGGCTTCTCCATGTCTGTGTAGGTTGTGTGAGAACCCCAGGTCATGAGGAGACAACTCATCCCATGCACAGGAAACTTTACCACAAAGTGTCCAGCACGTTTCTTGTGAAGAGGGTAAAGGTTAATTTTGGGCAAAGACCACTTGTAAGCTGTTTCAGTTTCTGCTGGTGAAGTGACAGAGGAGGCTGAGAGGGTTGGACTTCAAACTTCCCTGCAGCAAAACGTAGCATTTTCCATAGCATTGGACTGCGTTCTGCTTGATAAAAGCTGCTCTGCAAAGTGAAACAGAGCTGTGCTTTTTTCCTTTTTAGCTAACAGATGTGTGTTACTAATGCTCACTTCCACCTCTGAATGTGTGTATTTTTGTGCTCCTAGAAGCACTAAAGGAATAAAAATATCGTAATGACAAGTGAAATTAAAACAGTATCTCATTAAGAAGAATGCTGACTGTATTTCTGTTGTGAATATAGACAAACAGTTTTAATTTGCACAGAGAACTAAGTCACCTAAATTGCAGTTTCCTGTTAAAAGTACTCAAATATATTAAAGAGGTAAAACTGGGGTTTTAGATTATTTGAGTTTACTGAAGTTTACTGGAGACAGGATCAAGAATAAATTTTGTGACTTACAAACTTATCTTCAGCTAAGTGGAATCTGTGGACAGGAAAGCAAAAAGAAATCAAGCTACTTCCTGGTGCTGAAATGCCCTTTTTTCTTAATATCACTGAAAGGTTGCATTCAGGGATTTCCACGTTGCACAAATACATTTGTTACATCTTGCATTAGTTGATTTCATTTTCTTGTGGAAGACTTTTCCCTGTTCTTGCTGCAGTTTCTCACTCAGAATCCTCAGGGGAGCTTCAGAGAGTGACAAGAAGATTCTTCAGGCCAAACTTAATATTTTTGTCTTTGTTAATCAAGGTTCTGGGAAAAGGGAACCATTAACCAGGCTATGAGGGGAACCTAGACTTCAGAAGGGGGAGATACAGCCTCTCTGTGGAACTGACAGATTGGTACCAGTCAATGGTGTCTTTGTGGGGAATTAATCTCAGTGGGAGGCAAAGGTTCAAATTGGATGCTGGTACCACTTGCATTCTTTTGCCTTCCCAAGGCCTAGATCAGGGAATGAATGGACTGAAACTGTTGTCAGCCTATGGATCCGCAGCAGGCATAGTCTGTGTTGCTGCCCCTGTGAGTTTGGCTGGAAGGATCTGACTCAAGGTGAGTCAGAATAAACATTTGCATAAGTGAATAATAATAACTGAATAACAAATAAATATTCACATAACTGAAGGAAGGCTTGTTCAGAGGCCTTTTCTGAACAGAGGTCTTTACCAATACTGGAGATCAACAACAGCCTCTCATGCTTCTGTTGAAAACTGGGCTTGCAGCAAAGCTTCATGAAGTGCAAAGCTGCCCAGTTTGCCAACATCCACTGTGTGCTGTCTTAGTAAGGGCAGAGCCAAAGACTATGTGTAGATAAATCATGCCATCTTCAGGAGAGCTTGCCTCAACATGAATTACATTAGCCTTGGCATTGCTGTCTGCTTGAGTGGTACCAGTCATTGGAAACTATCCATTTAAGGATAGATACCATCTCAGGAAACTATGTGATCTCTTAATACTACCTTTAATTTGGTAAGAATGCTACTTCCTTTAGTTATTATCAAAAACATGATCATAAAGTTGTCATTCAGGAGAGGGATCAGAGCACCTGTTGTTTGGCTAAGCATTGAGTAAAGGGAACTCACCCCTGCCTGAGCTTGCACAACTGCAGGAGGGATCCAGTTTGCCCATCTGCATCAGGACTAAGTGAATCATCTAATTAATTTTTATAATTAGAGAGAGGTATCTCCAGGAGGTGACTCATCCCACCTACCTTGGAAAATAGTGACTTGTTCTCTGGAAATGCCTGTGTCTCACCACTGACTGCTCAGAGAACCTGAGTGCTGAGCTGAGATCAGACACCTACCTCCTTCTTTAGGTGAGATAATACCTTTCTGTAAGTGATAAGAGCTCATACTAAGTTCTTAAGCCTTCTTGGGTAATTGGTAGGGCTGGTGATTAAATCAAACCGTGACTGGAATTCCCAGTTTCTTTTACTGCAATATGGGATAAATGGGAAGTCTTAAAAGACATAGCCTTTTAGTGTAAATGCACTTGAATGAGATGGCAGCGTTCAAGTAGAAACCTTCATTTAACCTGTGGTAAGCTTAAAAATAATTTGCTTTTACTGTATACTCATTGCCAGCTCTTTGTAGAAGCCTCCCTCGCCTAGTATTTTCACCCAATGGAATAAGAGACCTACATCCTGATCTTTTGAAGACAGGACACAGGACTGACACAAGATCTTCTCTTGTGACAGTAACAGTTAGAACTCTTCCAAACAATGTTTTGAAAGTTTAGCTGTAGAAAAGCAAGCATAGCAACAAATGCTGTCTCCTAGTCGGCATATCATATACATTCCTTTTTCCTAAGAGCACCAAGCCTTTTGATAGACATGTTTACGTATGTTTCTTACAGCTGTTCTACCCACTCACCAAATACTGCCCTGAAGTCAGTCCTTTTCAACATAAGCTTATTTCTTTGTGCTCCTACTCTGACTGGGTATTGCCATCACTAATGCTCAGCGAGGTCCAGTAGAAGATCAGTTTTTCTGTTTTCAGTAAACTTTATTGTGAGCACTGGTAATCAGAAGTTACATTTACAGATAATCTGACAATGGTACCTGCCCACTGGATGTGATTTATGCAGTATAAAAAGACTGTGTAATAATATGACTATTATTTTGTTAATTTTTTTAGATGTGGATTTAACTGATACTATGATATACAAAATCCCTCCCCACATAAGGAAAAGAGCCCTCTGTAAGTATGATCCTTGTAAGTAATGTAAAGATGTATCATTGGATGATAAAGTAATATTGCAATTTAAAGGAATAGTTGAGGTCTTAGAGAGCCTGGGAAAATTACTACATGCACTAATATTTAAATAGAAATAGCTTCAAAACAAATGAGATACCTCTTTTAGCTTATCAAGGATTCATCCTTTGTAAGGACGTCAGGTATTGCAGAGATTTTAGCTGAAAAGCAGCTGGGCTCTTGAACCTAATTGCTGTCTGACCTGTACCTTGGTGAGCATGTTAGTTATTCTCTAATATGTTATTTGTAGATTTTGGGGGGAGGGCCTATGGCATTCTGTCTAAATCTCTGCAAGTACATTTTGTAGGTCTCTTCATCAGGCAGTTAGGTTTAATAGACTTACAGACTGTTAAACATCACGTTATATAAAGAACAAACCAAGGAAAGCCTATTGCTGAAAGAAGGGAAAAATATAGGAGAATGAAAAGCCTTGGAAACTGTTAAAGAATTTTGATGGAAGTTTCATTTGAATAAATACTAGGACAATCAGTACTATTTGAGAAAGGTTGGTTATTCACTAGCTACTTAAACATTAATAAATACAATAAAGTTTTTTACTGTGTGTGATCAAACCTTGGAACAACCAGGATGTCTAAAGAGGCACATTCTTGTTCAAAACTAACTGGACACAGTCCTGAGAAGCTTCCTGTGAGCAAGGGGGTTGGATTAGATAAACTCCAGAATTTATACAACCTCAACTATTCAATATGCATTGAAAATCTGCCTGCTTTAATATTTGGCTGTCAGAAATTATGTATATAGGCACAGTGTTGTTTTGTACACTATCACTGAATTTCAGAGCTTTGGGGATGGGATGTTCAGAGATCTCAATTTCTGCTTCTTCCATTCAACAATTTTTTTTTTTCCTATTTGGAATTGACTTTTGACATGTTATATAAACCTGATTGAATCAAATTCTTAGTTCTAGGTAACAGACTGGCTTATTTTGTAGGCAAAGTCCAAATTCTTTCTTTCCTAGAATGAGCTCCTCATTTAAAATGTGGTTTCTATGCTGATGTAGATGACCAGGGCTGTGTTAGTTCAGTTTTCTTACATGCTTAACTTGCATTTGAATTTTTGATGTCCAGTGAAGCAGTGATAGTTAAGAAGAGGCTTAACTCTCTCCCTGTGGAGAGAGGAAGATTCTTTTGAAATCTTCCAGAGAGATATGCTGACTAATTAAATTCAAAGACTTAAGTAGGTTGAATGTTCCTTTGGAGGCCTTCTGAAAGATTTAAAGTGGTGTTTTAGAACAAAATGAAAGCTAGGTGCTTTAATTAAAATACATCTTGTTAATTGTTAGGTCCATCAACCTAAATGGAAAATAAATATTCTCCCATTTTGCTGTGTGGTTCAAATGTTTTCTAGAATGAATGAGGGACTGCTGGGAAGGTATTAGTTACTTTATTAGGTTTATCAGATTTGACTTCTCACTTGCTAAATTAATGGAGTTTGTCATAAGAGTGTGAAATAAATATGAAAGTTCCATAACTACAGTGCTAGCACAGTTGATTGAAGCAATATTCACATTTAAAATTATAACCAATTTTTCTGTAGGCTTTCTTTCCTACTGTAATTTTTCACTTCATAGGCATTGTGAGGGGAAGGGCTGTCATGGATGTCTGTAGTTCAGAAAAGTGGAGGAAAAGAATAGATGCTGCCATCTGCCACATCAGCAGGCACCCCTTTTTGCTTTTTCTTTCCACCACCATCCCAGAATTTCAACCTCTCTCTGGCCCAGCAGGCTTTATTTATAGTTTTCATTATCCCTTTCTCATGGCGGTAGAGCCTAGAACAGTGTGCTGACACTGACAACGTTTCCTGCCCTTTTGTTCTGCGCTCCCCCAACCTGTTGTCCCTTTGTCCTTATCCCTAGTGCTTCCTCTGCAGACAGAGGCCCCAGCTGATAAATCTACTCGTGCTCCCCAGGGATTAGAAGCCAGGAAACTTCATTAAGGATGGTTTAATAACTTAGACAAAGGAGAAGAGCAGCTGGTCTGTTAACTTGTCTCTCTCAAGCCCCATTCGCTGACAGAAAAGCTTTCTTGCATGCAGTCCAGTTTTCAACAATTTGCTGTAAAATGCTGCAGATGTAGTTTATGCAAATGGAATTACTATGCATTGGATCTGCCTTGAGCATTTTATTTGAATGACCTGAGATGATTTTATGGCAGTGGGTTTGCTGTTGTTGAAAATAACAGTAGCTTATAGTGGCCTAAAATTTTGATGTATGTTTTTGCTTTCTCTGTTGTTTAGCACGGTAATGTTAGAAGAATAGCAGTTGGAGACAACCTGCTGCACTTTGCTTCTCTGTGAGACAACCATCAGTAAAGCCAAGCAGCAAGAAAAGAAGGGCTCTTCATGAGAAAATGACAGCAAGAGAACACAGCCCCCGCCATGGTGCCAAATCCCGCACTGTGCAGAGGGCCTCCACCATTGACGTCACCTCTGACATGGTTGGCCTTTCTCTAACAGGTTTGGACCTTCCTGTCAGCTACTGCTCTGTAACTGCTCCTTCCAGAATCTGCCCTGTACTAATGTTGGTTTTTTTCTTGTAATTACTCAAAGATTTAGATCTGTGTGGTTATCTGGAGGTGATGAGATAAAGGAGTTATGCTAAAAAATTATAAAAATCTTGAATTTGCTGCTTTTAAAATAGACAAAACATTGAAATCAGAGGGGGATTAAAAAAATTAAGTTGCACTTTGTGTAGTTATATTTGTCACTCAAAAATAAGCAATGGGGAGAAAATAACAAAATAATGTCACGGGCTAAGAAGAGTCTTGGCAACTCCCTTGTTTGACATTGTATAAAATTTTCAAGAGTTCAGGGAGCTGAGGCTTGTCTCCCTTATCTTTTATGTTTTTTAAATTAGGATTCTAACCCTCAGAAGCTTGCTTTCATTAGTGAGAGAGACAGGTACTTTTAAATTTTGTCCTATTAACTACCACAGATTTAATAATTTGGAGTTAATAATGGCTCAGGCTTTAATCCTGTTGTTCTCTATTGAGATTAAGCATTTACGATTCCCATATTGCATTTAATCTCCTATAGTTTTACATATTTTAATATGTTTATAAACTGAGATCATCCCAGATTTTCTAAATAATTATTAGATACCAGGGATTACCAGATAAGTGTTTTAGATAACAGTCATGACTCACTGAATTAAAGAAAAGTATTTTTTTTATAAAATGTAATTTCTGTCTTTGTACGATTGCAACTTCAGGAAAGAATTCACATGGCAGTTATGTGAATTGGCTAATCTTGTGTTAATTTTTCTGTTTTACAGGAAACATTCAGGATCCAGATGAGCCTATTTTAGAGTTCAGTTTAGGTAGGCTTAGTGATTTTTATGCTAGTTTTGATAATGCATGCTGTTGAATATGTGTGGGGTTTTGTAAGTGTTGATTTTGAAGTGCATATCATATAGTAAGATTTGCAACTTTGCTCTGCTTTTTATGGAGATATGGTACAGTTTTCATGCTGCCTGTTCAGTATCTTTTGATAAGCAGCCAGCAGTTTAGTTTTGTGAAGTTTCTAGAAGTCCGTAACTAAAACATTGGTCTTACAAAATGTTTGATGTTTACTATGTGATTATTATTATTATTATTATTATTATTATTATTATTATCATTATTATTATATGTTTACTTTGTTCATGTGAAGACTCAGTGAAACTGCCTTCACTGTCAATTAATCAGCAGTTCAAGTCTTCAAGCAAACTGAAGATTTGCTAGAAACACCATTTTAGGGCAGAACGCTTTCAAAGAATTGCAAATTACATGTAACTTCTTTCCTGGGGTCGTTGCTATCTAGTGATAATGTGAGATCCAGAAGTTACTTGAGTTGTGAGATGGTTGAATTTGGACAAGAAGCATTGGCTCACCTCACTTGAAGAATAAGTGAAAAATATTTTTTTCATGAAAATTCATTCCACATTTTCAACTGCAGGATTTTTTCTTGGCTTAATAGTGGACTGATATTTGGAAGGTTATGCTCTTAACAGTGTGCTAATGAAAAATTAGAAAATGTTCTCAATTGTGTGTAATTGTGTTATGAATAATAATCTTAACAAGCATTCTCAGAGCTGAATGGGGTATTTCAATTATTTTCAGATAAATTAAAAATACCTAGAATTACAAAGCTGTTTAGCTAAATTTCAGAATTAACTTCCTGCATGTAGCTGAAGCCGAGTTGGACCACACTGTAGCTACTTGTATCTAGCTAGATAGAATTGATAGAATTTGGCTCTGCAGTTTAATGTAATTGTGTAGAGTCACTCATTGAAATTTTTGGAAGTTTTTTCCTACTCGCCATAGTCCTTTCCCAGCAGTTAAACTCACAGTAACATTTTAGAGGAAATAAATTGCTAACATCTTACAATTACAAGCTGGTTTTCCTTTCCTCAGTAGTGCTGCCTGATCAATGTTCAGGCACTTCTCTTGGTTATCCCTGGGCAAATGCCATTTGATAATGGGCTTAATGGAGTGTGACTGTGAGATTCCCAGGGGAAAACGCGTGCATGTGGGCTGTTAGGATGAGCCTGCCAAGGGGTGGACAGGCATGTATTAGAAGAGAAAAAGTTTAAATTGCAGCTCTAGAGCTTGGAGCCAGACTGAGCTGATTGCATGTTTACTGTTTGCGTGCACAAAGGTGAGCGATGTCTGCTTTTATAGTGTGGTGATAGAATGAATATTAAGCCCTTTGTGGTTTGCTTGGTCAGGTATATAACATGGTTTTATAAAAATTTAGAGTCTTACAGCAATATGAAAAAGATCCTGAATCTAAATTGATTTATCTGTTGCATACTTAAAGCTTGCAGCGAGCTGCTAACTCCATCGCTAGATCGAAAACCAAATAGTTTTGTAGCAGTGAGTGTAACTACGCCTCCCCAGGCATTCTGGACGAAGCATGCACAGACAGAAATTATTGAGGTGAGTGCTGAGGTTTAGATTTAAAATCAAAGCTAACACAGGAATCATTTCTTCCGTAACAAATATCACCTTACATTAACTTCTGGCTTTTTGTTTATGATTACAGGGAACAAGCAATCCTATCTTTCTAAGCAGCATTGCCTTTTTCCAAGACTCTCTTATCAATCAAATGACACAAATCAAACTCTCCGTGTATGACGTCAAAGATAGATCTCAGGGAACAGTAAGTTTTCTTTATTCTTGTTGCCTGCCCAGTCAGTATGAAGCAAGGAAATGAGAGGCAAAGAGATAAAATTAGTAACCTCTGTGAAAGAAAACAAGGGCATAGCATCACTGATCATACAGAAAGCAAGATGGGTAGGGAAAGGAGGAACTAATGAGATTGGCTTGGAAGAGTGTGAAATGTTGCCAGTTTTCTCAAACAAGGCTTGTCTGTAGCAAGTTTGGAAACCATGGATCTAAATAAAAAAGGTCCTGTCACTTGTGCTCTTACATTGTGGACATCTTTAGCAAACTAGGTAATGAATAGGGTATAACATCCCTAAACATGGCTTCTAGCCTATGCCAGAATGCCAGAATGAAACTGTCCTTTGGAACAGAGCACCTAAATTCTGGGAATCACCCTGTCTTGATACATTAGATTTTGTTCAGGGTTCAGGTTTGTTCCTTTACTGGAAAAAACTTTTAAGTGTCAGCACTTCCATGTTGCTACTTGGATTTGTGGGCAATACAGGCCATTTATTCACAGACTGCTGTTCAGAATACTGTTTCAGGCCCCATGTGTCTGATCTTCCATGGCTTCCTCAGGGGCAGCAGAGCTGTCCCTCTCTGTTCAGTGCTTCATGGGGAAGCTCTAGGGAAAAAATGAATACCTCCAGAGGAAGTAAATTCCTCAGAGGGAGAAAAATTTGGGTCAAGGATGCAGCCAGAGCCCTGTTTAGTCATTGCTTTCAATGTTTCTGTATTGCTTGGCTTAAGCTCATATGTACTTAGGTGCCTCCATGTATATCCTAGAGAAATAAAAATACATACTATCCTCCAGTAGAAGCAAAACTTTTATAAATTATCAAATATATTAAATGTTAAGATATTTTAATTAGTTATATATGGCATATTTAGTTATGGTTTTGCTCTCAGACTTCTATGCATAATAATTGTATTTTGCACTTCACTGCTCTGGTCAAAGCCTTTGGTCACTGTAAAGGTAAATACAATTCTGGAACTCATCTTCTTTCAGATGTATTTGTTGGGTTCTGGGACATTCACTGTAAAGGATCTTCTTCAGGAGAAGTATCACAGGTTGCACATAACACTAAGGTTTGTAATATTTTCCTTCTTTTAAGTGTTAATTCTTCAAAACATGCTTAAGATGTGGTGAAAACCTGTTATGTCATGACTAAATTGAAATGGACTTAATTAAACTCCCTTGTTTTGATATCAAGTATATTCTGATTATCAAAATGTGTGAATACATGCATTTCTTCTCATTGCAAGGTTGCCCTCAAATGTATAAGCTGAGCATGGACTACTGCCTAGGCTGGCTTTAATTCCATAAAACATCTTTGCAGAATAAGGGGAATGTGCTCCTGTTGGAATAACTCATTATAAAGTTATTCCAAATGAAGTTGAAAAGCTTCCTGTTTAAAATGTTCTTTAAGTTTGAAGATTAATAGCCTTTTATAAGTGTTTCCTTGTTGATGAACAGGTCCTCCTCCAAAAAAATCTCAACGCAGAGTATTTGTTGCAGGTCAGCTGAAAGTGACCGTGTTGGTAACATCACAGTTATTGGATGGCAGATGGAGGAAAAATCTGACCAAAGGCCTCCAGTGACAAGGTCACCTGATACAATTAATGGAAGAGTGAGTATGAGCATTGGACCAAATTCAGAAGAATGCAGATTTATTGTCAGCATTGAAATAAGCTAGGTTGACATCTGCCATCAACTTTCCTGTCCATCTTGATGCTTAGTAGTGCTTTACATTTTCAAAATACTGTAAGGAGTAGCCTAATGGTGGTGAAGCCATTTTGAGTTTTGCAGACTTCTTGGTGCTCACATGTGGGGTTAAAAGTATTGGGAAAATTTTTTAATTTAAAATTATTATGCTTTTGTATCAAGTACTCACATTCTTCATTGGAAGAGACTTCTGGTACTGTTCATTGGTGCACTTGGTGCATGGATAACCAGTTTCAGAGACATGTGGTATTTTATTTCACATTGTGGATTGAAGGTACCATAAGCAAAACTGTAATGAGGATGCTAGGGAGTTCCCAGAATTGTTTGAGAGCAGATGTTTTCAGCACTTTCTCAGCCTAGACATATATTTAATTCTGTGAAGCTTGTGCTTTGAGTATCATGGTGATCATTACACTCTTACATGTGTATTATATTCACAGTGTGCATTAGAATCCCTTTTTATCCTCCAGATCTCTTCATGCCTATTCATGTGGTATCTATAAAGACTCTGGAGCTCATAAGTAATTGAAAGCCTGGATGAAAATTTTGTGGCATTTTGCACTGTGCAGTAGAAGTAAATAGGAATGCTTAGGATTCATTATTCCAGTCTGCAATATTTTTTATCCACAGTAAAAATATTTGAAATATTTATTTAAAGCATGTATGGAGTTGAATATTTATCTGAAATCTTTCTGATGGGTCATCACTGCATATTGTTTGGACACTGAGGTTTCATTCTTTACTATTTCTGATTTTTCTTGGTTTTGTTTTTGTTCAGACTGTGTTGCCAGTTGATGAAAGTTTAACAGAATCCTTAGGAATCAGATCCAAATATGCTTCATTGAGGAAGGATGCACTGCTGAAATCTGGTAAGCTGCCCTGGGCTGTAACAAGTAAGCTTTAGGTGTCAATAAAAGCTAATCTCTCCCAGTGTGCATGCGGCCCCAGGGCATTTCAGCAGATGTTTTATTTGAATAGGAACAGGCTGCTGATTGAGCAGTCCTTTGAGGGTCATTCCAAAATAAATCTTTTTATCATATGCACTATTCGATATTGTAAAAACAGCAGAAGATAACTCTTGCCATTAGATTGACTGTAGACTGACATTTTCCATGCTATTTCATAATCTATTCTTAAACAATTGTTGCAGGGTGAAGAGAGGGACAGAGGAAAGCAAGTTGCTTTAAAAAAAGAATCTTGCAGAAGGGTTAGTTTTCCAGCAAATGATTGCATGAGAGGAAAATGCACAGTACATAGACAAAAAAAAAAATTAAAAGGTGAATACATATTTAATTTAATTTCTTTAGCAGTGTAGTAAGTCATTTGGAGTGGAGGCTTTTCCTGCAAACCTGAAGAATGGCCATTGCAGAATGACCATGCTTGCAAAAGTTAGACTGGTGCCTGGTTAAACCAAATCTTTACAGCAGGGTGTTTCAGAATGTCAGTGAACTGAAGCCATTTACTTTAAGAAAGAATAGACTTTGTACACTTTAAAGTGAAACCCTAGGCTTAAATAATATGGTTTTAATTCTTTAGTGTTTGGTGGTGCCATTTGCCGAATGTATCGTTTCCCAACCACTGATGGAAACCACTTGAGAATCTTGGAGCAGATGGCAGAGAGCATCCTGTCACTGCACATCCCTAGACAATTTGTGAAGCTGCTTCTAGAGGAAGATGCAGCAAGGTGAGTTTTGGGATGGTTTAGGTGTGCAGTAATACAGCAGTGATGTGGCTGTTACTGAGTTACAAAGGCATAAATATATCTGGGTTAATGCACTGACTACTCAGTGAGATAAGAAATGGCTTTGAGAATCAGAAGAGTAGTTTTAAATGGAAAACTAAACAGAAAAAAGCAAGTAAAAGGAAATGCTGTAGTACAGTAATGACATTGCCTCATTTTAGGAGGTGGGAGAAGGAAATCTGTTAAGCATTTTCTAAGTTTATTCTGAATTTGCTTCTTTTTGAAGTAATTGACTCTCTTCCAGGCAACATACTCCTTTTTGAATGTTTCTTCCCTACATTTGTAGGCTGTGTGTTTTATATATTCATAAAGGCCGAGATTGGAATGTTAAAGAATTTTAGCTTTGTTTTTGAGTATTGGATTTTTATTTTGAATGTGTTTGAATCCAATCCTATAGACCTTAACTAAGTCTGACCTTAATTAAAACTAACTAGTGCTCTCGTTATTGTATATTAGGAGATTGCAGTGCCTTTAGGATATTGTGAAATAAAATCATGGGTTAATCCATTCATTGTAGGTATTTTCATATTTTGAAAATGACAAACTCTCACAGGTAGATGGCAGAGACTTTTTGTAATGCATGGGAAAGCTAACTGAGTTTCTGAACTTCACAATGATTCTTTTTTCTGATGTTATGTTTTTAGTGACACGTGCTTAGATTCTAGAAATTGAATGCTGTACCTTATTCAGCTGTCCTGCTACAATCTTGGTGGAGCAGACGAGGGATATGCACATTTAGTCATGGGTTATTTGTTTTTTATTTTGTATCTTTGTTTCTCTGCAGCTTTCCTCATGGTAGGTTTAAAAGCACCTATTCATGGCAAGGAACAACCATAATACTAAAGAGTTGGGAAGCTTATCCATAATGTGCCATGTATGATGGATATAATTTTAAGGACTTGAAGATAAGGAGAATTTAGGGTGAATGAGCAAAAAGATGTGTCTTTCTATAAGACTGTAGACAGTGAAGTTTGAGGCCCTGGCCATGGAATGTGACCGTTCAGGGGCTCTTGCTAAAATCGTGCAGGGATTGGTGGATGCCTGTTGTAAACAGGTACAGGTTAATAACAGCCCAGGTGATTGTTAATATTACCTTGTACATGTCCACTGGCTGGTGTGGCTCAAAGGTAAATAGGCCTTTGTGTAATTACTGAGAAAGGCTCCCTTGTCTCTGTTCAGTTGAGGTGACCCTCAATAATGTGCACAATCACACTTTGTATTCATAGAGTCACTCAGATTTGACCAAGCACGCTGTTCTCCATTCTCAGTGCTGCAGCCCAGAGGAATGACAGACAGCTACACAAGCACAGCTGTTTCTGTCTTCACATCCTGGTGACTTTTAAAATGTCCTTGGATAATCACAACTGCTGTCTCTGAGATAAAACTCTCCTGGGCCAGAGCCCTTAGAAAGGAAACATCTACTGGGGGGTGTGATATTTAGACTGCCTCATTATATATGGCATCCATATTCCTTGCTGTCTGAGCTCTATGGGAGAAACAAGTAAACTTTAAGTGGTAAGCTGTGCATTTACTTCAGGAAGACCAGGGCTTAGATGCATGGCTGGTTTTGAGCAGGGAGTTTGATGAGGTAATCATAATAGCATCTTACGCAGAAAACAAGTTTTATGATGAAACTGGAAGTGTCTTTTTCTAGGTCACTGATAAATATACTTTATGCAGTTGCCTGTTGGCAAATCAATCTTATGTTTTTCTTGGAAATTTAGCTCTTTTTGATAATATCCTAAGTAGTGTGGTGTGGGAGTTGCTCTGTGAAATGCTGTCTTATATTATTCACAGACAGTTGGTTAAAACTATGGTATTAGGGATATTGAGAGAACTGCAAAAAGAGCTGCTGGATCTTTTTGACAGGTGATTGTTCTACCTTTTCTGGGGCAATGTGCTGTTGAATTGTGTCTGGTGTTGTCTTGTTTATCTTTTCCCCTTCTTCCTTTATTCCAAATAATACACTAATCCAAGAAGAGAGTAATACAAATGTGACATGAAGTACACTGAGTATTTTCTCAGCAGCACTGCTGGGGAATGGTATGTAACACAGGATCGTCATGTGTGACTGGAAACCTGGCAGCTGGGGTACAAGGGGTGTTCCTGTTCATATCTGTGGATGTCCAGTCCTCCTTTATTCTACCCTGAGTGCCCAAAATCCTGGACCTCAGATGAAGGTTTTGTTGGCCCATCTTCAGTCTCTCTAAATCCTTAATGCTTACACTTCTTAGGCTTTCCCTGGCCTTGCAAACTGTTGTGTACTTAAGTTACCAGTGAATATGCTCCTTGTACCTAACATCAGAGATGTGCTAATATCCTACCTAACCTCTGTCAGAGTTTTTAATTAGTTTAAGAGCCACCACAGTTAAGTGTCCTTAAGAAGTCCTCATTTTCCCAATTCACCTGACAAGATGACAGTTCCCATGATTTACCAATCCTCATATAGTTGGAGAGCTCCTGTAGAAAGGTGGGAAGCTCTGCTTATGACCAACACTTGAGGCTCCTGGGGGGAGTATGGTGTATTCTACTTGTGAGGAAGCAATTTACCTCAGAGTAGTGTTCAGCCTGTGCTCTGGGCTGTGCTTGGGATGTGTGTTTGGAAGCTTTTCCAGTCTGGTGAGTAGCTCAGACATGGTAAATTGAGAGCGTGTCAGCTGATGATGGTGCTCTGTTGATACAATGTGAAACTCATTCTTGGTCAATTGGACTATGGACATAAACACCTCTCTTTCCATCCTTGCCTCCCCCTATTTTCTTTTTTTTTTTTTCCCAGGGTTTGTGAACTAGAAGAACTGGGAGAGCTGTCTCCTTGTTGGGAAAGCCTTCGTCGACAAATAGTTACACAGTACCAAACAATTATTTTAACTTACCAGGAAAATCTGACTGACCTGCACCAGTATAAAGGTGATTTTTTTTATTTATAAAAATGTGATTCTTCTCTACCAGGATTGTTAGTGCTTCTCTGAAATTGGGAATCTAGTATGTTTTATGATGAGTAAATAATGCTGTTATATTCTTTATTAATAATTATTGTGAGTTTGCTAATTTTCTGGGAATATTTGTCTTCTGTTCATTTTCTTACTCTGTTCACAAGATGTGAACAGTAGCAAAAAAAAATTGGTTTGTTTTTTCTTTTTAATTTTCTCTGCTTGGCGTTCAGCACATAGCAAATGATGATTGAAGCTTCTGAATGTTTAGCATAGGCACAAGAAGAAAGGTTTTATGCTTACTTTTGTCTTGCATTTCTCAGGTCCTTCATTTAAAGCCAGTAGCTTGAAAGCTGATAAAAAACTGGAGTTTGTTCCTACAAATTTACATATACAGAGGATGAGAGTCCAGGATGATGGAGGATCAGGTATTAGTTTATCTTCCTTTACTTATCTTGTTACTTTTCTCTCCACTATTTTTTATTTCCACTGTCAACCATACAGCCAAGTTTCTATGAACTACTGTAGTAGTGCTACTTGGCGTTTTTGTAGCAACTTATATTTTCAGACTCCAAATCTCTTTACAAAAGAAGAGACAGAAGTATAATTATTGCTGTTCTACAAATGGCAAAACTAGGTTCTGCAGTTAACTGAACTCTAGGTGGCACAAGTTAGCCTTTGTACTAGGGTTGGGTTAAGCTGCTGTGTCCCTGCCAGACATCCTGAATTGCAGTAGAATAAAAATGTTCTGACTGTTTTTCTTGTTCAGCTTGTGGGCTTTTTCTCCAGAATCAACATGTATGGTTATGCAAAATCACTTTTTTTCACATCAAGCTTGTTTCATCATAAATAACCTGGGCTTTCCCTTCTTTTAACAGTAATTCCCTGTGACCGTGGACACACACTTGTCTCGTGTGTCCAGGTGAGGGATTCCAGTAAAGGCAAGCTTTGTATACAGACCAGTGTTCAATACTTCTTTTTCACTGTCAATCTTCTAGATTAAGAAACAAAGGACCTGCATTCATTTCAGGTCTTTCACCTGAAAAACTGTTTGATGGATTTCCAGGGCCTCTAGAACAACTCAGTTTTCCATGTCTTTCAAACCATGGCAAAGGTTTCCAGAAATTACTTTCAGAGAAGTTTTTGAACTTACACAATTGTTTGTCTACATTAAAGATGACAGGTTTTCATTTGTAAGTCCTTTTTGTCCACCCCAGATCAGAACTACGACATAGTCACCATAGGAGCACCAGCAGCTCATTGTCAAGGCTTTAAATCAGGTGGCTTGCGGAAAAAGCTGCATAAATTTGAAGAGGCAAAGAAACAGTAAGTAGAAATACTATTGTGTCAGCTATTATTGTGCCTTTTCTTCCTGGTCCATGCTCAGTTATTTGGAAAATCATTCCATTCTGTTTTTATTTCATTCAATAGTACTACTATACAATTTTTTTTTTTTTTTTTTTTTCAGTGGTTTTTTTTTTTTTTTTTTCCAAAGAAGGAGAGGGAAAACTGTTTCCTCCTTATTTTACTGTATTTATTTGTTTACTGATGGACTCTTTCTAAGAGTCTTTTTATGAAAACTTTAATTTTTCTGAATACGTGTTAATTAATTTAATTTAGCTATTTTAGGTGTTGGGTTTGGGCTCTGCCTAATTGTGGGTCAGAACATTTGCTGAACCTCCTCAGCTGCACTACATCATGCTTCAACCCATTATTTTCAGGAGACTTTCACCCCTCTCATAGTGTCCAGGTCCTGTTGCTGAGCTCTCTTTAGTAGGAACCTGCTGTGCCTGATTGGTAAATTCCTTGTTGACAAAATGGGTTTAGTTCTGAAACTGTTGCTGGAGGCCTTCCCGCATTGCCTAAGGTTTATGCACAGATTGGGCTTCTGAATTTGGCCTCTGCCCTACAGGTAGGATACATGACCTCCATGGTCCTGTCTGCAGGGACTGCCAAGTGACCTCTGTAGAAGTGTGGATGGATGAACTGTAGGAATTGCAGAAGCTGGGAAGGTCACATTTGCTAACATGGCACCCACTCCAGCTCCCAGAGAAGAGAGTGCTGCAGGGTCTGCATTGCTTCTGCTACTGTATGGACACAAGAGCAGCAGGACAAGGAGTCGTTTTAGTCAGGAAAAAGGAGACCTTGATAATGCCCTTCCAAAGAAAGGATTAGTAGGATTTAGAGCTGATAAGACATGGGAGTGACGTGGGAATCAACTTCAGAATTAATTTTGGCAATAGAGAAATAGCAGTATCTTGTGAATGTCAGTCAGATATGTACTGATAAAAAGATTGGTGTAAAAACACCTAGTGTTAATTGTTCAGGCTGACAGAATGCACTAGGAGAGGACTAGAGGAAACTGTAAACTTGGGAACACTGGTATGCCAGGCTCACCCTTGCTGTTCTTTTGATACAGTTATTGCTCTTTGAAGTAACCTTCTTCTGTCAGCATAGCCACTGAAGTGGGCCTTGCTCCTGCAATAGCTAATTTCCCATGTGGATTTGTTCTTTTTCCCCTTACCCAATAATTAAGTTGATTGGAGAGTTTAATTTCTATCCAGTACTTTTCCTCTAAGCTTTTCAGAACTGTTCCTTCTGGGTCCATGAACACTGCAGGTTGAACACTTGATGAACAGCTTTCATTTTAAGTACATCTATGTTATCAAAAAAGCTAGTATAGTAGAACTGAGATCCATCTCCTCAGTTTCATTGTTATATTCAGTTCCTTCTTCTTTCATTGGCATAACTGTGCTTGTTTCAGTCATAGCATTTGCCCAGATCAACTCATGGTCATCTGGCAATCTGTGTTGTTTTGTTTACAACTTCACATACCCACCTTATTGAAAAAATGACTCAAATAAGTTATTTCCCCAATCATACTTTGTTTTGTTTCTGCTTTTGGTATTTGCTAACAATCTGCTAATTTTATTTTGGTTTTTTGTTTTTGTAGCAGTTATGAGGAGTGTTGGTGAGTTTTCCGTTTCTGAGAGTTCTATAGAGGGTTTCTGTTTTCTGGGTTGTTTTATTTTCCTTTTGTTTGGCAAAGATCTGGTGTGTTTTAAAGTGTGCAGGGCTTTTTAATGTCATGCATCATGGCATCCCTAATTGTGCTCTAAGTAATTGTAGCTGCTTTGTAGAACATGATGTATGAGTGAATTTCATTTCATCTGCAACGTTTGTTTGCAATGAACAGCTAGTTTCCTGGCTCTCGCTGATCATAAGTTAAAAAACTGAAAATCAGAACACAAGGATTTTATATATTTTCCTTTGTTATTTCCAATGAAAACTATCTGGAATGAGAAACTTTTCTGCCAGTAATGGAAGATAATTAAGATAATTTTATGTATTTTAAAACCTTGATAGTAGCAGATTTGGCATGGTGTATATTTTTGTAATCCATGTCTTTATTTAAACATTTTCACATAATACTTTTCCTAATTTTGTGGTGTTCAATGCTGTCAAAAGCAGACATTACTAGGTGGTTCAAAAATGCAGAAGTTCTGCTCTAAATTACTCTTATTAAGATTGAACCACTAATTCACTGAGAATTTAAGTCTGTGTTACAGTTTGCGGGTATAATACAATGAGAGCTGTTCATTTGAAAAAGCAGTTGCAGGTTGGAAAGTAAGTATATGTGAACTTTACACCATATGTTTTTCCCCAATCATCCTAGCAAATGTTTATTATTAAAAATATAATAATTCTAAATCCAATCTCAATATGCTGCATGGCCTTTTCTGCCAACTATGTCTTTATGCATGTTAACCACACTGTCGTGGAAAGAAATTGCTCAGAGGAATTGTCACTAAGATCACCAGTCTCTAGAAAGCACAAATCAAGTACAGGGAAAGCCCTAACAGCTGAGATTAATTTGCTGTATGGGATAGCAGTACTGGGGAGTGGTTGTTCTCTGCCCCTCAGGTGGGTGACCAGAGCACAAACAAGGAAACTCTTCCAAGAATCACTTCTGAGTTACATCCTTTGAAAACAAATGCCTCATCTTTCTTTTGTAATGGAGCTCAGGCAGACACTGGTATTGGGCTTCTCCCTTGCCTTAATATCTGTTGAGGGACAAGAATTGGAATTGTGGCATGATTTTGAAGTGTGCCCCACACAACCCTCGTGTCCTACCTCACAGATACGCTTCAGAAATGAACAGCATTGCTCTAAGGGTAGCAGAGGAATTCACACTCCTTGGAAGTCATGATCTGTGGTAACTGTTCCTGAAAAAGAAACTCCTCTCCATGTAACCTCTCAGCATGGCTGTCTCCATTTAACAGTGCTGAGATGGGTGCAGACAGTAGGTTCTTCTGTGCTGTTACTATGCTGAAGCCATTCATGACTGGAAAAAGAAAAGAAAAAAAAAGATAATACACAATTGGTGTCCTGTCATGCTTGATGCCATGTTGAGAATGGACATCATACTTGGCACAGCTGGAGATGATGTAAAGGCCTGGTATTTGGGTACCTTTCCTACTGGGGAGGAAGAACCCAGCATTTTGCTTGACAAAGAGAGTAGTGGTCAGTTCGTTCTAAATAATTAACTAAGAGCACAACCTCAGCTTGGAGTAATTTCCTAAGTTAAAAGGCAGCTTTCAGGTGGGATGAAATTACCCTTTGGAAGTGCTATTCTTTCTCCAGCAGTTGTAGAGCATCTGTCTTGGATCGAACAAGCAACTTCTGTAGACATCTAAACTTAAAAGGGCATAATCTGTTCGCCACTGTCAAACAAGCAGTCTTAGTGTAGCTGCATTATCCTCATATAAAGATATGTTTGTCCCTAGTTTAGTATATTGTGTGCTAACAGAAACTACAAAGAACAGTTTTGAATGAAGATGAATGTTGATTTTTTACATATCATAAAATTGCTTTTGCTGGTGTAACTTGATTCTGATCTGCAATAGAGGAAATCATATACTCGCAGAAGGACTTTTTGTTAATACAATAGTGTTTGCATTATGGATCTGGGTGGCATTTCTGTGTTAGAAGAAGCACAAATTTTCTTTTCATGATGTTAGTAGATACATGATAAAACATGTTTGTAAGCAAGGCCTCAGTGAAGTATCTGTGTTGTAAGGAGAGGGAGAATGGAGCAAGATGTCTCTGCAAAAGGTGGTTATGTATCTGATGGCAAAATCTGTCACCCACATTCTCACTGTCCCTCTGGTGTACAAACTCTGCCCACAACCACTTGGTATTAGGGATTAGTAAATCTGCACCTAAATACTTTTAGTAAAGGCAGGGAAGTCTCTAGGATCATGTTCCTGCTGTGCAATTGCCCATTGGACTTTCACTGCTGATCACTAGTTTAGGTACATTTTTGCTGTCTGCCATTAATTCCCCAGCATGCCACTGTAATGTGTGTACCTCTAGACCAATTTCCCCCCTAAAATCAATCTTTCTTTTTCAGCACTTCAACAGGTTCCCAGTCTATAATATACATCCCACAGGACATTGTTAGAGCAAAGGAAATTATTGCACAAATCAACACCCTGAAAACACAAGTCAGTTACTATGCAGAAAGGCTCTCTAGAGCTGCCAAGGATAGATCAGCTAATGGCCTTGAAAGAACACTTGCCATCCTAGCAGATAAGGTAGGAGAATAATTCACTTCCCTGCTGAAGCACAGTGTATTGTTTGTCCTGTCTGTACCTTTAGTAAGTTTTCTTGAAACATCTGTTTTACCATTTTCAGTAGTGTGTTGTAACATGCACAGACCTAAACAAAGATTATATCAGCCTTTAAAAGTTCCTGTTTGTATTTATGTTACCTCCTACTTTGGACACTCTTGCCTTCACCTCCTCTTGCAAGTGCAATGTCCTTGGATTCCCTCTATTAATTCATCACATTGCAGTAATATGCATTCTTCACTTTCTTTTATATCCTTTTCTCCATAACCACCTGGGATTTTTTAATGTTCTGAGTCATCTGTCAAGCAACAGCAACTGTGTGAAAGTTAATGAAACAATTCTATATTTTTTCCACTGGTGAAATAAGGAATAATGGTGACACAGCCTTTGCTTGAATAATAGTGATATAAACCAGTTATTTCATGATGTCTGCTAACAAAAAACAGACTGGAAACAATCTTACAGGGAAAAAAAACTCAAATACAGTTTTACTGACCTCTTCTGTCCTTGAAGCAGATCCGAAGGCTCTAAACAGCAGTAGTGGCCAATCAGCTTACCATAAATTGTCCAGAGGAAGGGATGCACATACAGCTTTTATAATAGGACTTCATGTAAATGTATTCTTTATTATAATACTCTTTCTAAATTAATACAGTGTACAGTTGTTCTGTGGGATTTTCTACAACTGGATTATGTATATCTATAACATATTAATGTCTTGTTTGTTGTTTTTTTAGTAGACACACAGGCCAAATAATTTTCATATTCATATGGCTTACAGAAATCCTTTAATACAACACGGCTAAATAAGACAGGGAACAAATTGCATTGATTAGTGAGTTATACCTTCAGCCCTCCTCTTAAATCTTGTTATGATTTCAGACAGGATAATTGGGGTGAAACCTGATCCTTCTGGTGTGGCAACTGTTGTGTAGAGTATAAAAATCATTTAATATAGAATATAGTGAATTTGAAGGGACTAATCAGGATCATCCTGGTCCTGCACTCCCAGACCCACACCATGTGCCTGAGAGCATTGTCCAAACACTTCTTGAACTCTGTCAGGCTTGGTGCTGCAACTGCATCCCTGGGGAGCTGTTCCAGTGCTCAAACACTGCACATGTGTCTGCACATTGTTCTAAGCTTTCATCAAACGGAGAATGAAGTGCAAATAAAGATGAATTGCACACTCCTCAGGGAAATTTTCAATAATTATGAATCTAATATAGTAGCACTCACTTTGGAAATGCATAACTTGTGTTTTGTGTTCTATACTATTTTTCAAGGTCATTATGTAAAGGTATTCTAAAGGCACCTTCAAGCAATAGTTTATTTTACAAAATAAAATGCAGCATAAATTGTGTATGGAATAATGAAAAGTTTTCAAAATGTGGGTCTTTTTTGCTTTTTAGACCCGGCAACTTGTCACAGTTTGTGACTGCAAGCTATTGGCAAATTCAATACATGGACTGAATGCTGCAAGGCCAGATTATATAGCTTCAAAAGCATCTCCAACCTCTGGAGAAGGGGAACAAGTGATGCTAAGGAATGATCAAGATACACTTGTGGCCAGATGGACAGGAAGAAATAGCCGATCTTCTCTGCAGGTGGACTGGCATGAAGAGGAATGGGTATGTTTGCATAGTGATGAATCCTTTGTTCTTTTTATTTCTTTTTTAATAAGCTCTGTAGCTGCTCACCAGATATGCATAGGATGAGTATGTAGGAGGTATTGGTCAGCTGGCAAAGATGTTGTGTCTATGCTGCAGGCAGTTACTCTTGGCATGGGAATACAAGCAGGCTTTAATAAATATTTCTGGATCTCCTAAACACTGGAAACTGTTTGAGTAGGTGTATAGCATTTTTAAGGTAGGTCCAAGGGAAAGTAAATAGCTTTTCAAGTGAAAAATAGACCACACTACAATGGGCTTTTGCACTTTCCCAAATAAAGTGTATTTTGTGGGTGCTAGCTATGTAATTTACCCTTCCTCTTACAGAAATACTCCTGTAAACATTTAGAACTTGCAGTCAATCACTGTTTTGATTATGAACAGCATTTTAAAACTGTTTGCATAAAGTATTTAAATTATTTTCTCTTCCACACTGCCAATTAAAATGAGAATTGGACTGTAAATTATGTCATTGTGTTAAATAAACAGAAGTTAACTAAATCTCACAAATAGTCAAGATTAATTAAAGCAATTATTAATATTGGGAAATACCAACTTTTAAAAGAGATTCAATTCATTTTGGAAATGATTCCTTGCTAGTTGTAATTATTTTGGCATACGTTGACTTACAGTCAAAGTCACAGTAATACGATACAAATAAAGATAATTCAGTATTTAGACATGACTATAATATAGTAATTTTTTCTGAGTTACAGATGTTCACTGAGTTACCGAGAAAAAAAGATGTGTGATTATATACAATTATTATGTCAAACATGAATTTCAAGAGTAAACAATAGTGCCAGCTAGAAATTGGAATAATAGGGCAGGAAGAAGAACTTAAAATTGTTTGGCAAGCTTACACAGAAAATAACTTTGAAATTTACCACACAAGTCATGTCACTAGATATTGTTGACATCCTGGTATATGTTATTTATATACCCATAATTTGTGTGTGCACACATGCAACCACAATAGCCCAGAGGATAGTTTGCAGAGGAATTGTGACTAGAATCACAGGAGGAAAGGTATCGCCAAGGGCTTTGTTACCCAATGTCTCTCTTGGTTTTAAACTGAGAAAGAAATGTTTTCTTTTCAGGAGAAAGTTTGGTTGAATGTTGACAAAAGTCTAGAGTGTATCATACAGCGAGTGGACAAACTTCTCCAGAAGGAGCGCCTGCAGAGTGACAGCTGTGAAGATGTTTTCCAGTGTGACGTCAGCAGCACTAGTAAGAAAGGTAATCGGGACAGTCGTGCCTACTGGATAAATCCAGAAGATTTAAATGAGACCTCATCATCCTCACCACCTTCATCATCCTCACCACCATCTTCATCCACGCCATCCTGTGCATGCCATTCTCTCAAGACAAGTGCGTATGCCAGACACTGCTTCTCACTGCTGCTCTCTTCCTGTGTGCTGGCATCATTCCTAAGCCTCCCCTACTCCCTCCATGTGTTTTGAACTCAGTGGTAGTGTTAAGCACTGATGTCAGGCAGAAAGAGCTGTTGGTGTATTGGGAGCTGCTAAGCCCATTACTTATTTTAAAATCTTGATCCCACTGAAATCATTGCCAAATCCATTGATGACAGTAGCACTTGGTTTTCACTCCGTGTGTTTTAAGCTAATAAAACAGTTGTATGGGTAACAGCCACCACCATATGATAGACGCCACCTCTGGTAGATCTCCTGTTGGCTTCAGCTTCTTTGCAGCAATTAAAGCTTATTACAGGTAAATAACACATGAGAGAAGTGCAGGCACTACTGAAAAACTGATAGTCCCAGCTGGTCTGCTAAAGCATGGGAGAGGACCCCAAGCAATCCCATTAGATTGAGCTCAATGTAGATGAACCTAACAGAGTTCAAAGCAAATTTTAACCCAAACTGTGGTGCTGAGGCACTCAATTATTTAGACTTCTTGTAGCTGGAATGTAGGAATTGGCAGTGCAAGTTCTTAGTTGAATAATCCATTCAAAATTTAAACTCAAGTGAGTGCTGTATTGAACCCAGTGTGAAGTTGTGAGCATGTGAATGAAGTAAACCCTTATCAGTTTAGACTGACAGTTTGGCAGCTGTGAATTTCAGAATTATTTCATTTACTTATGTACTTGATTTATTCTCGCATTCTTTGCCTGTGGTCACTCTGATTTGGCACTTAATAGTGCAGGTGGGCAAAGTGAAGCTCTAAAAAGCCTGATCTGTGTTCTCATTTCCTTTGTCCTGTTCTGTCTTCTCGTTTGATGGCCCTTTGTCCCTATGTGTGTCTGTGACTTCATGTCCATCACATTGTTAGTGTTGCATTGTAGTGGAAGGCAGTGCCTTAAGAAAAAAAAGGCAAAAAGGAAGTGAAAATAAAGGTTAATATATTTTTTGTGTAGCTTTGCATGTTACCTATAGTTTATTTAGTGTCTTAGACAACCATATTTTTCTGGATTAGACTGACAGTTTTCTGTATTATTAAAAAACAGGAGACTAGGTTCTTGTTTCATTAATATCTGTCTAAATTTCTTCTACTGGTTTGATACCTATAAATGGTTTTGTTTGCTAGCTAGTTTACACAAAGATTTATATGTAATTATATGTAAGTTTAATCAGTAACCTTCAATGCACATTCACATAAATGATTAAATGTGGATTTTTAATATTAAAAATGCACAGGAAAAATCTGTGTTGACTGTTATCAGAAGCTTTTCCCAGGACAACTGGGTGCTGAAAACACCTTAGAACAATATTTTTCTACCATTTTCAGTGGATCTTTTAAACTACTTTGGATCTTGACAGTTACACCACATAAAAGTGGAATTGACTGTGTGACCCTACAAAAGATTTTTTTAGTGAAAAGAATTTCTGCAACTTTTCCCTGTTGTCCCTCAAAAATAGGAAAAAAAAAAATCCTTCTGTGTAACTGACAGAACCTGGGGCAGGATTGAAGGACAAGGGAGGTCCTTTCTCTAAGTTCAGAATCACAACATTTTGGTTTTGTGTATTGAAAGAATTAAAGTTTTTCCTGTTAGTAATTCTGAGTTTTGAATAAATGAGCAGAGAGCAGACAGAAATTATTTTGAAAGCAACATAAAACCAAGCCAAGCAAGATAGTTCCAGAATTGGTAAGAGAGGGACTGTAAAATTTTATTGAAGGGTCTCTCTAGGAATGAATGTTTGTGAAAGAAAATATTGCCTGAAATAGTAGAAGGGAAACTTAAAAAAGATATTTTCAAATGTACTTAGGTTGTTAGCTTAGATATTCATTACTAAAATCACATGGGGACATATAGTTTCTTTCATGAACATGATGGATTTTAATATACTGAGAGGTTTTTCTTCTGATTATCTAGCTGAGATGATTGTCCTGGTGCACACTATTGAATTTTATATTTTATGTTGTTATGTTCAGATTTATAATTCATTGACTAGTGAATCTAGATATAAACAACAGCAGCTTAAATCCTGATAGCTTCGTAAACTACTTTTCATGAGTGCAGGACTTGCTATAACAGGGTTTGTTATTTTTTATTGTTAGCATTGACCTGTAGTATGTTTTCATCTGACAGCTTGATCCTCCCACTGAAATGAGTATGGAATACTCACAAACTTCTCTGGTGGGGTTTCAGCCCTTAACATGTGTTCTAATGTTTCTGTTAATTATGTCAGAAATTGTGTAATGGAATTTTGACTAAGGTGGCAAAGTACTGGTTTTTTATTACTCTTATATTGTGGGAGGCTTAATGCCATTTTCTGTTAAGTGCATTGAATTTACTGCTGATCTTTTGCTCTTTTGTTTAGCAGCCTTACTGCCAGCTTAATCTGTAATTGCAGTAAACCAGTGGTTCTCAAATTATGCCCTGTGGATCCCTGGGGATTGACAGTGCACTTGCTGGTGATCCACAGCGAGCCTCTGAGCTAGCAGGTACTGGCTTTCCTCCAAGTCCCCATCCAGGTGTTCCTCTGATCAGAACAATGGAGTGGAGGAGACAGCCCATGCCCTTGATGCCTGTGGGCATCAGAGTATTTCTGCCTAGCTCCTCTTCACTCAGTGAAAATGTTTGAGAACCCTGGCACTGCACATTTGAGTTGCTTGTATTTAGACTGTGTTGCTGCCCCTTAATCATGCATGTTGCCCCTCCATTTCTGTGCAGATTGCAGCCCTACTCCAGAAGAATCCGCCCCAGGTACGTGCATTCATGGCTTCTGCTTCTTCTGAAAACTGCAGGGGTTTGTTCATACTTAACAAATGCCTTGCTTTAAGATGGACCATTTTGAAATGGCAATTACAACACCACGTGAGTTACCCAAGCTGTTGAGCAGTTATTTCCTAAAAGTGCAGGGGGTACCTGGTCCTTTCACATGTTCAGATATGGGAGAGCGCTTGTTCAGGGCCTCTCGGATTTCTCCAGCTGATGTGTTCTAGCAAACTGATGTAGGTTACAATGTAGGCCTCTTCCAAATGGCATTGAAGTCTGTAGGAGTCTAAGGTTTCAGACATGCCCTTTCACATGGGCTGTTGAGCTGGTCTTTCTGGATGAGAAGTCAAGCAGAACATGGTGGAGTCAACAAGGCTGATGGAAAATCTCTGTTGTGGGTGCACACCAAGTCGTACTGGGGATTGCAAGTCTCGTGTTTCAGGATACAGAATTTAAGAGTCTCATCCCAGTGTTAACCTTCTTTCTTCTGTCCTTGTCCCTCTGTACTTAATATGAAAATACTAAAATATATTTTCAAGGCCTTGGAGGACAGCTGTTTTAATAATATTTTTATTGCTCTGGAGAAGAGAGACCCTTGGGCAAAAAAAGCAAGAATGTTTCCCACCTGACATTACATCCTATAATCTTTATGTATTTGGTTCTCTTAATAAGACATTAATTTTTTATGATCAGTAGTATATAGTCAGCAAAAGTTCACTGTGTGAACTCATTGGCCTTCCCAACACCCCTACCCTGTTCCAACCTAATTTGAGACAGGGAGTGCAATTTGGTTTTTTACTGTTATTTTACTGTTAATAACAACTGCCACTGACTAAAAAAAAAAAAAAATTAGCACAAGAGACACCGCTGTGAAGTAAGTAAAGTTCAAAAATAATTTAGAACTTTGCACACTGACAAGGGTTTGTTTTTTCATGGCCATAATTTTAAACCAAGAGAATACACAGAACAGAGGATTTTTGCTTACTACCCCAGTTGAGTCCCTGCCTTCTATGTGAATGTTGGAAGAAAAAACCTATCTAATAATTGCATTATCTTTGCCAGTGTACTTTGTGATTACCAAAGATAAACATATCTTTAAAATAAAGTGGTGTCAGACTCACTACAGTTTTAAATCTTTGCTGAGTTAGTAACCATTTACATATATGTACATACACTCAATGAGATGATGATGTGCTGGAAGGTATTTTCAGCTCTTTTTATTCTCACTTGCTTAAGAAAAGCTCTTAAATGCAGTAAGAGAAACACTGTTAGTTTCATCTGTATTTTGCTTTTTAAGTGTTCACAAGGCCATGGTATGGCATCTGACTAATTTTGAGATAAAATATTTAATAGAATTTAAAAGACAAGCTGTGGTTCCTTGCCCATTCTTATGATGTTTTGTGCTTTTTTTAAGGCAATGAAACAGAGTCAAACAACTTCCCCTTTGTGTAGTTTGTTAGGTTATCTATCTATGACATAGAACAAAATCCAAAATGATAGTTCTGTTAATCTTGCCAGATATGCTTCTGTTAGCAGACTTCCAGAGTTCCCCTCTTTGGCTGGTTATCAAAGGAACATTTATTATTACTGACTCTTAGTTCTGCCTCTGAGTCAAAATCCCAAACAATTTACTTTCAGGGATTTTAAGTGTCTCATTCATGCAGGTTCTGGTCTGTTCGTTGCCTTGTTCCTACAGCCAGCTAGGGTGGGAGTTGTGTGTGTGCTGTTAGTGAGCTCTGGTGCTTTTAAAAAATAAAATATACTGTCCTGCCATTTAAAAAGAGAATGACTTGGACAACTCAGTTTCACTTGTGTGCTTCCTGTGCAGGACCTTGAACAGAATCCCTCTGGGTCATATCTTGTGTATTTCAGTGGAAGAAAAGCTCCAAAGTACTTCCAACAATCTGTATGACTCCTATCTAATTCACTATGTTTAATATTTCTTGTTATCTAACTTAAAGCCTTTAAAACTGCGAAGGAGACAGGAAACACTTAAAAGAGTACCTACATTAATTTCTCACCTCACACCTTATTATTCTTAGCTGCAAATAGATGAGATGAGCATCATCCTGCCTCACTGAGGTGCAATAAGAATCAGTAAGGTGGAGAAGCAATTGAATGATACACCTATGAGCCTAGAGATTCAAAAAGCAGGATGTTTGGGAGGAATCTCATTGACAGAAATGGCACATAGTCCCTATTTCTGTAATACAGTGGGCCCTTTACTGTCTGTCCATGTATGTGCAGTGAAAGGGTTTGTTTGAACATGAACATGCAGTTATATACACTTCTGTATATAGCTGTTCATGTTTCTGTTATGATTTCCAAATCAGCTATTGTACAGCCTGTTTTGTGGGCACAAATTCTGGTAACTTTTACATGGCCTGGGAAGTCATAAAAGCTTTACAGAGTAAAATTCTCCATATTTTCCTCATGCAATATCCCTACTGTAGGGTTACTTAATTATTACAAAGCAGGGAATAACCATCCAGCCAAAATAAAATGAGTTCTAAATTATCAACAACTTTGTCTTGCAACAGGAAGTTTCTTCTTAATGTGTGTTTGTTTCAAATAAAGTACTTCCACTGCTGCTAATTTTTTTTTTTTTCAACCAGGTGAATGGAGTGAAGCTCTTTATCCCTTGCTGACCACACTCACTGACTGCGTAGCCATGATGAGTGACAAGGCCAAGAAAGCCATGGTGTTTTTATTAATGCAGGACAGTGCCCCGACAATAGGGCTCTGCCTGAGCCTTCAGTATCGCAGGGATGTTGTCTTCTGCCAGACTGTAAGCAAGCAAATATGCATGATTTGATTTCACTTCCACATTTGATGGGGTTTCTATGAAATATGAAAGATTACTCTTTCCAGAATTTTTCAGATCTCTTCCCAGGTTTGACACTGATTTCCCCTCACAAGCTGTGCCATCCTGTTCTTACTCGTTACTTACATGCATTTGACAATTCATAAATTGTCCCCTTGGATATACAGTCATTCACTATTGAAAACAAAAATTATTCCAGAACTAGTAAAAATACTAATATACTAAAATATACTGCCTTTGCCTTCCAATGCCACCAAACCAAAGCAGAAGAAAGATGTGAGAGAGAAGGGCAAAAAGGTCTGTGAGTAGCAGATGTACTTCCTCAGTTAGCTTTTGTTGTTTTCTGCATTGAGAAAACCAGCAGGACATATGGTGCCTAAGGACAGAAGTCCAGCTGCAGGAAGAGAAATTAGTTCTGGTTTTTTTTCCAAGAAGTTCTGTTTCTGGACCTGCTGGCATCTCTTGTGTCAGACGCTGACTAGCAGATGTCTGCACTAAAAAAATTTCCACTGCCCACAGAAAAAAAATTCTTCTGCCCACTACACTTCTGTAGTGTATCTGCTTTCCTGTCAAATCACTATCTTGTTCATTTATTTCAAACAGTTTATTTCTTGGACTTAATTGGCAGGGCTTTTGTCCCATAATATAATATTAAAAATGTAAAGCTAGTGACAGGATGAGAGGAAATGTCCTCAAGTTGTGCCAGGGGAGATTTAGAGTAGATACTAGGAAAAATTTCTTATGGAAGGGGTTGTTAAGACCCAGAGTGGGCTGCCTAGTAAAGTCGTGGAGTCACTGTCCCTGACGTGTTCAAAAAATGTGTGGATATGTCCTCAAAAAAGTTGAGGACATGGTTTAGTGGTGTACGTGGTGGTGGTGCTGGGTTGGACTTGGTGATCTTGGAGGTGTTTTCCAACCTTAATGATTCTTTGATTCTATGACCTCATAGAGATAAAATCAGGGAATTTTCCTATATAAAACCCACTTCATAATGCAGATAATTTTTCAATTCAATCCTTTTAATATGTTTACCCATTAAGATCAGAACTTTATTCTTTTCTATTTAATTCTATAACAAAGTCATACACCTGTATATATAGTATATGGCCATCACCTGGGAAATTCCTTTGTGGACAGTGAATTAAAACTATTATTAGAATTAATCTTAGGTGATAGTACTGACCTTAGTACTAGATCTTCAGGATCTTGTTCTGAATATCTTGAAACACCAGAGTTTAAATCTGCATAATGCAAACAGATACTGCATTTTTAAGCTTTCTCAAATGTCATTTTTGAAAAGCAGTAATTTATTCATACTATCAAAGTTCTTGGCCTGGAACTAGCTGTGTTGCTTTTCTGTCTAAAACTAAAACAATTTTCTAAGGAGCAACTTCTGTAATTCATAAGTAGTAGACCCTACCACAAGTGATTGTGTTCAGAAAACAAGAAGGTGTGAGATCTACAGCAGCCCCATTTTGAGACAGCTTGTGAGATGAAGGCAGTGTGCCCTGAATCTGATTTTATGAATGTTTTGGGTTTTCATTGGTTGGCTGTCTTCAGCTGCAAGGAAAAAAAGATGTTTAAAGGAAAAGAGTATCTCTGTGACAGATTTTATTGCACCTCTTATACATGCTATCATTTTTGTTTGGGGCTGAAGAACCTTTTTTATTTTGAATAATTTCATTCTTGTCTGTTTCCTCTCTCACAGCTGACAGCTCTCATTTGTGGTTTCATTATCAAGCTGAGGAACTGTCTGCATGATGATGGATTTCTAAGACAACTCTACACCATTGGCTTGCTGGCACAGTTTGAGAGCCTGCTAAGCACTTATGGTAAGGGCACAGGGCCAGGGTCTGCAATTAGCTGTTGAGTCAGCAAATTCTGCATTAAATTGGCTACAGCAGGATCTGAGTGTTTTGGATAATCTGCAGCTCAGCTAAAAAATTATTTTGAAAACTAGAATGCAAAACTAGATTATAGTTGAAGTACTTAATTATCTAACAACTCTGAATTTCTTTGCACTTGAATTGCTTGAATTTCACAGTGGTCTTTGAGGTTTTTTTTCAGAAAATAATTGGATGAAAGTTCTGGTTAGCTGGGAGAAACTGTGCCTAAAATACACTTTTTGAATTTTCTTGAAACTTCTGTAATCTTGCAGCACAATGTGAGACTGAAGAGTGAATATAAAAAGGGAAAGTACTTCAGTCAGAAATGTTTCTTGTTTCTCAAAAACTTCCTGCATAGTGGTTAGCAAATGTTTTATTGGACAAATCCAGAATATCTTACGCAAAGGATATCATGTCTCTGCCAATGCTGAGAAGTACTTACTAGTATCACCTAACTTGGAAAATCAGCTTATAAAATACTTAAACAACAGTAGTCTGGACTGTTCTAGATAAGTGGTGTTTTCCAGCCATGACATTGTCTGTAGGTCAAAGGGGAGGCCAGGGCTGCAGCACTGCTTCATCTGTGAAACTTCTGTATGGAGTGATGGCCTCCTGTTGTCATCAAATTGACAAAGGGAAGTTCTGCATAACAAGTAATTACAATTCACTTTTTCCTCTTGGATTTAGGTGAAGAGCTGGCGATGCTGGAGGACATGAGTTTGGGAATCATGGACTTGAGGAATGTAACCTTTAAAGTAACTCAGGCTACATCAAATACATCTACTGACATGCTGCCAGTCATCACTGGAAATCGGTAAAAACCAATAAATATACTTTATTCTTGATGAGTGGAAACATGCCAAGGTTAGGGCTTTTCTACCCAAGTTGTAGAAGAGCTGCAGTATTAATAAGCAGAGCAAAATCAACCATTGTCAGGAGATTGGTAGATCTGATGTCACATCCGTGAGGTTATAAATGCTACATTACAGGTTGCGGCAGGTTTGGTTTTGAACTAGAATAGACTTTCTGACTAGAAGCAAGTTGTGGCAGCTCCTCAGAGTCACTTTTGACTGATGGTTGCTTTTTAATGGTTATATTATGTTCTAGGTGTTATCCCTCTTTAGACAAATTCTTGGAATGTAGCTTTTTGATCTTTACATCTAACAGCTGTGTATTTCTTTTCAGTGATGGATTTAATGTGAGGATCCCTCTGCCAAGCGCCTTGTTTGATTTGTTGCCTCGTGAGATTCAAAGTGGAATGTTACTGAGGGTTCAGCCTGTTCTTTTCAACGTGGGAATCAATGAGCAGCAAACCCTAGCAGAGAAGTAGGTGTCCAGTCAGGCAAGCTCAGCCTTGCTGGCAGTTCAGCAGTGGAGCTACGTTGATGTGGAATTGCATTCTTGCATAACTAACAGAAATTCAGTTTCTCCAATACACGAACATGGGAACAGTGTTCTAAGGGAATCTGCCAAATGCCAAACAAAAGGAGGTCCTTCTTTCTCTGCCACATAGCTGTGAGGCTCCTTACCTTATAGGTTTGAGATTGGTGCAAGTTTATGTAGTTCAGATGTGAATTTGCAATGGGAGATTTATCAAGAGCACACAGGTGCTCCTTGTGACTTAAGACCTCTGTGAGTGACAAGTTCCCTAGCGGCTGAGATCATTCTGGGTATTGCTGTATATTTGCTGTCTTGGTTTTGCACTCTCCCTGAGATTCCCTCTCCTGGTCACTGCCAAAATTCAGGATAATGGGCAAGGTGCACCTCTGTTTTAAAATACCCTTGCAACACTGCTATTGTAAAACTGAAAAATATAATTATGTAATTTTATTTGCTAAGGAAACTGCTCAGTTCTGGAAGAGCCAGTAGTTTCTCCCTGTTATGGCCACATCCTGTAAAGAGTGCATTGGCAGAGCACTGCTCCAACAGAGCACTCCTGTGAAGCCAGGCACATGCATGTTGTGACAGCAGCCTCAGTACCAGGCTGGAGTGTGCACTGTGGTGGTGAACAATGAGAAAAAGTCTAACAAAAGCATTCAGCAATTACTGTTGTCCTCTGTTGCCTACAAAGGAAGCCCAAGATGACTCGCACAGTTAAAGGTGTCAGCACTCTGTGTTTACATCTGTGTATGTGGATATATTTAGATAAGATGAATCAGGGCATTGTTGACAATATTTAGTACATTCATGGTTTATTAATCCTAGATCCATATTTTTCATTTACATACCTGAAGTCAGCATTCTCAGTCCTATCTACTGATATTATGGTTGTTACTATTAGTTTATGAACTAAACTAGCATCTCCATTATTAAAAGTTTAAATTGACATAAAACAATTTGCCAGGTAGGAATTAAATATTGAAAGAGAGACATGAAAGCCAAAGAATTTTAAATACCATTTTCTTCAAAATTTTTCTTACACCTTCCTTCCCTTTTCCCCCTCATATTCATATATTTTATTTCTCTGTAATGAATCATCACCATAATTCTCTGTTACACCTCACCTGTCATTTGAGTGGTTAGGGAACTCCTGGGATAAATATTTAAACTGGTTTTTTGTAGACATATTGCCAAGTGCAGTTGTTTCAAATAAAAAGAGAAACATTTTACCTTGGGCTTAATTGTTCCTTTTTTCTCCTTTTAAAGGTTTGGAGACACCTCACTGCAAGAGATAATTAACATGGAAAGCTTAGTGAGGTTGAATTCATATTTTGAGCAGTTCAAGGAAGTTTTGCCTGATGATTGTAAGTATTTTGTAATGAATGACAAATTTGCTTGAACAGCACAATTCAGGCTGATTTTTTCATTTGTTTGCTTTATGTTGGTTTTTTAAATGTTGATGGTACACCAGCCTTATTAACCTCCAAGACATTAAAACTGTGTTTTAATTCTTCAGTACTAAAGTAGAGTTGATTCAAGAGGTTTAAAGGTCAGACTGATTAACTTTCCTTTTTAAGGTTACTTTTACATCTCTTTCTAAGTGGCTCTTTGTATTGTATAATCATCCAGTTGGACAGTGAGATTGTTGTAAGGTAAAAGTGTAAAAGTGACAGGTTCTAGCAGCAGCACTTTTATGTGCAGTTTTTTGTGATGCTCCCTGCACTTATGATAAAACCTGCACAGAAGAAACTCAGTCACTTCCCTGTAGTTGTTGCATCTGCAGCCAACATCAGAGAATCTGGAGGAGTGACAAAAGCTGCATGCTTAATTTTGACTGGTTTTTTTGTACTTGCTTGTTACTGCTTGGTTTTTTTTTTAGAAGACAGTGGCATAAGTGGTATTTACAAAAATGGTGAAAATTAATCTATTCATTATTATTACAATCAAACCTCTTCTAAGGTTATTTCATGTGCCCTACAGCTGCAATTTTATTCCAGAAATACAAATGCAGCAGCATGCAACAAGATAGTAAGAATTCTGTCCGTTAAAGTGTGTTATTGTAAATTCAGTTGCCCTGAATTTTTTTTTTTTATAGCTGAGACCACAACTTGCTTCCCTCCGTCCAGGCATTCATAATGCTAAATAATAAATTCTCTGGAACGTTAGCTGCAAAGTGTAATTCTTTATTTTATAGTAGTCTAGCATCAGGAGTTTTTTGTACAATTCAAAAATTAACCAGTTTAAAATTAATTTTGTTAATGTCTCTGTCTAATGTATTTTATAATAATAATTCCCATTCAGCTCCTTCCTCTCCTTTCCACTGTCCATGTCCCTATGTTATTAATTCTATACTCTGCAGAATTTCTAATAAATTAGTCTTAGTTCCTTGTCCTTGTTCTGTTAGTTCACCTTATCTTTAGAAAGAGGAGATGGCCTGTGCCCTCTTTTTGTTTACAGGTATTACTTTCTTTCTAGGTGTGGAGTTCAAGCAGGCCAGACCAGGACAGGCACAGTACCGTTAATTATAGAATAGAAATGTAGAATTGTTTAGGTTGGGAAGATCTTTAAGATCATCAAGTCCAACTCTTTCCCGAGCACTGCATAAAGGACTCCTAAACCATCTCTCCAAGTTCCACATCTCCATGTTTTTTAAATACCTCCAGAGATGCTGACTCAACCATTTCCCTGAGCAGCCTGTTCCAGTGCTTGACAACCCTTTCAGTGAAGAAATTTTTTCCAACATCCAATCTAAATCTGGTGCAGCTTGAGGCCATTTTTTCTTGTCCTGGTGCTGGTTGCCTGGGAGAAGAACCCTCCTGGCTTTCAGGTGGTTGTGGAGAGCAATAAGGTCCCACTGAGCCTCCTTTTCTCCTGCCTAAACAGCCCCGGCTCCTTCAGCTGCTTCTCGTAAGACTTGTGCTCCACACCCTTCCCCAGCTCTGTTGCTCTTCTCTGGACACCACTGAGGTTTCAGTATCTCTATGTCCTTCTTACAGTGATGGGCCCAGAACTGAACACAGGATTTGAGGTGCAGCCTCACCAGTGCCCAGTACAGGGGAACAATTCCTGTCCTGGTCCATTACTGCTGACACAGGCCAGGATGCCATTGGCTTTCTCGGCCACCTGGGCACTGCTGGCTCATGTTCAGCAGCTGTGGACCAGCACCCCCAGGTCCTTTTCTACCAGAATCTTCCCAACCACTCTGGCCCCCAGCCTTAGCACTGCCTGGGGTTGTTGTGACCCAACCTAGCACTTAGTTGTGCTGAACCCCACAAAAGTGGCCTTGGCTTGTTGATCCAGCCTGTCCAGATCCCTCTGTAGAGCTTTCCTGCCCTCCAGTAGATCAGAACTGCTGCCCAGCTTGGTACCATCTGCCACTGACCAAGGGTGCTCTTGATCCCCTCCTCCTGATTCATTGATAAGGATTTTAAACAGGACTGGCTGCAGAACTGAGCTCTGGGGAACCCCACTGGTGACCAGCCACCAGCTGGATGTAGCTCCATTCACCAGCCCTCTGTGACCTGGCCACCCAGCTGGGTTGTTTTAACCAGTGAGCAGTGTGTCCCGCCAAGCCATGAGCAGTTAGTCCAGGAGAATGCTGTGGGGAGCAGTGTTGAAGGCTTTGCCAAGGTCCAGGTAAAGGATGTCCACAGCCTTCCCTCATCTGCTCAGCAGGTCACCTTCCTGGAGGAGATCAAGTTAGTCCAGCATATCATTTGCTGTGAGAAGTAGGCCTAAAATAAAGCCTCATGTGTCGCTCAGGTGGGATTCTTTTTGTTACAATGTCATCTCTTACAATGCACACCTCTGTATTTATTCAGTCACAACTTTAGTTGGTGTTCTTCATGGTTACTTCTTAAAAAAAAATGAAACAACAAAAAAGAGAACTTATTGATTACTTATAGTTGATTGTCTGGAGTATCTTGCTACATATGTAAGAGGTGATGTGCAACAGTTTGAACACAGAAGATGAGTGCTGAAGGTACTCTGAAAAATTCCAGCTACTTTATTTACACTTAGTGAAATATTAATAAACAGATCATGACAATGTGGTGTCCAGTGGGTGTTTCTTGTTACTGAAGGCTGAGCAGCTTGCAAATTTAAAGTCAAAAATGTGAGCAGAATATGAAATATCTTCAGAGTTTCTCAGAAGACATGCATGTTCTCCTGTCACATCTGTGACACACAAACCAAAACACTATACCAATCTTGCTCCCTTTGTTCATTGTTTTATTATACTGCTATTAAATTCTGAATCCCTGAAGTTTTAAATAACTGGAATTAATATTTCCAGTTGAGCTTAATTAAACATGAATTTGTTTTGTTGATGGTACTAAGTAAATCAGAACTTGAATAATTGTTCTAGTTGCAAGAAAAGACAAATGTATTTGCAACAGGCATATAGAAACACTTTGTAAAAGATCTGTTGAATACAGATGAGTAAGAGGAGTGTTTTTTGTTTGTTTTATAGGTCTACCTCGATCTCGTAGTCAGACGTGCCTGCCTGAACTGTTAAGATTTCTGGGACAAAATGTTCATGCAAGGAAAAACAAGAATGTTGATATCCTTTGGCAAGCTGCTGAGGTATTTATTTATCTAACCATCTCTGCATAGTTCAGCTGATTTTCTGTATTCGTATGTATTTGCCCTTTTTTTATTATTGGTATGTTTGAATTTCTTCATTTGCTTGCATGTAGCTTGCAAATGCTGCCAGGCTAGACCTTCTCTAGAATGAGACTTGGGGAAATAAAATGTATTTTCCATATCAGATTTTCTTCTCAACTCAGACAATGAAGTTCTGCTCTCTCAAACGTGCCAAACTTTGACACTGAAGCCCTAGACAACATTTGTGTCTCTCTGAGGGGAAGTACAGGTGTTGTCTTTGACAGGAGGTTTCGCCTGTCTATTCCTTTTCTAGATATGCCGCAGACTTAATGGTGTTCGATTTACGAGCTGTAAAAGTGCCAAGGATAGGACTGCCATGTCCATCACCCTGGAGCAGTGTTTGATCCTACAGCATGAACATGGAATGGCTCCACAGGTCTTCACTCAGGCTCTGGAGTGTATGAGGAGGTAAGAGTTTGACCATATCACTTATTCCTAAATAAGGAACCATGCAAACTGCAGAGGAGTTGTGGTCTCTGTTTCCATCAAAAGAAAAACAAAAAAGTAACCTAAAGTCAGGAAACTGTAAAACTGACTGCTAGAATTCATCCCTCCTGTGCATATCAGTTGCATATGCTAAAGCTGGTTCTTACCAGATTTATAGCAAATGGGCTTGAGTTTTCAGTAGAAAATTAGTGGTTTTCAGACAAGCATGTAAAAATATGTTTTTTGTTAATGCTGAGCTTGCAGAACAGGAAACTGGTGCTTCTTTGAAAGTTATTTAATGATGACGTTACCTGAACTGTCATAGCACTAGGTTTCTTAGTTCTAGCTCAGGGAGATTACTCAGGGATGATCTATCTTTTGTTCTTTGAAACACAGACACCTGCAGTTTGCACTGGTTTTCCAGTGTATTCTTTAGCAGTGGAACACTGCTCACTGGATGAAATGTCAGTATGAGTGTTTCACACTACAGCAACCAAATTTCATCACAACATGTCAGTGTGCTGTTGTCATATCAAAATAATGATGTTCTGTATTCTGAAGCAGCAGAGATGTTTGCAGAATTAAGTACTTTAAAAAAAAATCTGTTTACTGTTGTTCAATGCCTTGTTTCAAGCACTGCTGGAAAACTCCGTAAGTCACATACCAAAAGAAAGGATAAGAAATCTAGCTTTAGTCTTTATCAATGTAGTTCAACAATGCTGTTCAGTCCTGTTTTTCAACATTCACTCTTACCGAATGTACTGTACTGTGTGTCTTTTCACCAAATTCTCTAGAGTGTTCAATTCTCTTATCCTTTCTGTATGTTTTTGCTGTTTGACCCTTTCTTACTCTTCTAGTTACCTAGAAGAAAAATGTCTCATATAATAACACTTGCAACCTCTTACACTAATAGTTTGGGGGTTTATGCATACATCTAATTGGGTGGCACTGAACTTCTTTATTTTCAGTTTTTTGCTGCTCTTTCCGCTACATTGTCACAGAGTTAGTACAGTACATGAAAAGTACTTAAACCTTGATATTAGAAACAAAACTTAAAACAGCTTTGTGAGTGAGAATTTACTAATTTAAAACAGACTAAGTGGTTTTCAAACATCTTTATTTAAATTGCACAATTTGTTGACATAGACATCTGAAACTGTTATACAGTTTCACAGTCGTGTATTTAATAAGAACAAAACTAACTAGGAGAAATACTGGGAATCTTGTTACTTTCTGCAAATTCTTTAATGGGTCACCGGGTTTTTTAAAGCAATCACGGACACAATAGAGAGAGAGAGAGGTTAATAATAACATTGGGTACTTCAGTCTACCAATTTAATATAACACAGGATCAGATAAAATATTGACCCAAGAAAAATACTGCTTTCTGTTGACTTACACAGGGATATTGAAAGAAGGCCAATTTAATCAAAACCTTTGGCTTGAGTATTCTACCAACATCAGGGGCTTGCTCTGGCAGGTGAAGGACATGACTTTTTCTTTTGTTAAATCTTTGACTAAGAGAGATTGTGCAGGACAAATACTGACTAGTCCAGAAGGAAAACCAAGATTAGACCATTCTTCAAGCTGATCATTCTTCCTCACATCTTATTGCGCTTTGGGATAACTGGTTGTGTTTTCAAAATTATTTGTCAGCTCTATTCAGGAACAATGGCACAGCATTAATAAAGCTTAATGAGAGAGATAGGATTATGGAACAAATGTGTGGGAGTCCAACTCCACCAAATCCCATTCCGGCCTGGACAGTTTGACCTGACCTAGAAAACAGATACAGGATAAGAAAGCGTAGCAAATTGTACCCAAATTTCTTCTAGGGCATTCAGAAAACTTGGGTTTTGTTCTTTTAACTTGGATCTTTTAATTAACTGAACTGTAAAAGGAAGGTTTGGTTCATTCTTGAAGACTTTTGAAGTTTCTGAGGCATTTGGAGGGACAGGGAAGAAGTACTAGTAATTTGTGAGACTCAAAGTATTTAATCTCTTCTCTACTGACAACTTTCCAGAGAAGAAACCTGTCCTTTCTTATACCATTATTGAAAAAATTAAGAAAGCATCATCTTCTTCCATGTGATGTTGGTCTTCAGAGGTCTTAGTTCCCACTTACATGTCCTCAGGGACTTCCCTTCTTGTGATGATTATGTATCTGTGATAATTGTGTTCAATGAGCAGGGAGGGACATCAGAGAGGGAACATGAAGCGTTCTAGATTCTTGTAGAAATTTACAGATACAAGTTTGTGGCTTTCACTTTAGAAACAAATTTGCTATTACAATAAACTAATTTTCTGTAAATAAGTTACAGCTTTTGTGGTCCTAAATCAAACACACAGTAACTCCCAGCTCACAAATAGTAAAATCATGATGATATGCCTAGAAGTCCAAGCTAAGAGGACATGGCTACCTGACCAGTAAAGGCAGAACAAGAGTCCAAGTCCAGCTGGTTTGGGTAGCCTCTTCCATCTGCAGCCCATGCTCCCCACTAGATCTTTGACTCCCTGTCCTCCTTCTTCCTACCAGGTTTCTGTCTTGTCAGAAATGCCAGTGGAGCTGTTTGTGGGAATATGCTTTGAGGCAGTTTCAGTCAAGATCATCCTGGGTAGCAAAATCCTTTACATGTTTCGGGCAGCCCATCTCATTTTCATTAAATGAAATCAATTAGGAAGGTGCAACACAAGCAATTTAGCCAACAGAGAAGAGCCATCTCTGATAGGGGCTCTTGAAAAGCAGCTGAAAATGAGGTGAGGAAAATCACCATGGTGCTGACTAAAAGGATTAAATAATAAAGTCCTAGGAGTCATGTTTGAGTATGACCACTCACTGCAGTAAAAGAGCTATGATAAAAAGCTTGGTTGGATTTCTTCACTGATGGACCTGATTTAAAAATAAAATTATATTGAGTTGAGCTAGACCACTTGGCAGATGCCCACCCAGCTGCTCACTACCTTCTCCCAACAGGACAGGGGAAAAAATACATGAAAAAGCTTATGGGTTGAGGTAAAGGGGAGATCCCTTGCCAGTTACTGGTACAGAACTGGCAAAACAGAGAATTTTTTTTATTTATTTCCAATGGATTGGAGATATTAAGAAATAAATATGAAAATTAAAAAGCCTTGCCCTTCACCTCCCTTCTTATCCCAGGCCAAAGTATTCCACTGCTTCTTTCTCATCTCCTGGACTTTCTCCCCATGCTGAGCAATGCACAGTGGATGTGGAACAGGGCTTTGCAGTCGGTCCATAAGTCCTCTGCTCCTTCCTCCTTGCACTCTTCCTCCACTCCAATATGGGTTTTTCCCATGGGCTGCAGTCCTTCAGGATGAACCTGCTCCTGCATGAGCTCTCCATGGCCTCCAGTTTCCTTCAGTAAATGTTCATCTGCTGCACTATGGGTCCTCCAGGAGCTGCAGTGTGGATAGTTCCTCTCCATAACTGCAGGGGAAACTGCTTCACCTCTTTCTCCTCTCTTTCCCTGACTTTGGTGCTCACAGGGATCTTTCTCAGATCTTTTCCCATCACTCTTCACTACTATGCAGGGCTTTGCCCTTTCTCACACACTCCTTCCTCGAGGCAGCAGCATGGCTGAGGGCTCAGCTGTGCCTGCAGTGGGTCACTGGAGCTGGCTGGAACCAGCAGTGTCCAGCATGGGGCAACCCTGGCCTCTCCTCACAGAGACAATTCCCATATGCAAGCTAAATTAGAAGGGAGTTTGCTGTGTCTTCTAACCCTAATCCTCTCCTAGAGGTAGTTTGCTGATGAATGTTTTGATTTAAGACCCTGTACATTTTGGAATATTTGATATTTCCGAAAGATGACTTTTCACCCTTCAACAGGGGCCAACAGTGACAAGGAAAGCACTTTCCAGCTCTTGCCTCCATTCCCATCATACGTGTCTGTATATATGTCTTTGTGTAAAACTGAGTAGCATTGATGCTAATTTTTGATAGTGGAGATGTGGCATGTGATATTCATAATGTCAAGTTAACATTTTTAGCCTTCCTTTTTTACCTCTCCCATTGTTTTACATGTTATCTATATTCTGAAGCACTTTTCTTCCTCCAGGCCATTTAATTGAGTCTTTATCCACCACTTTCCAGTAAACACTAGGTTTCCACTGGCTGATTCTGTCACACACACACACTGTCCCCACTACTACAAAGGTAATTGGGATTTGTAGGCATCACAGATTCAATCTGTTGTCCACTGTAGGCACTAGGAGTGAAATCATGTCTTAATCACCAATTTGGATCAAATCCAAATCAGAAATAAAGTTGGTTTAGTTCCTTGCCCACCTAATTCTAGTTGACTTGATGTGTCACCAGCGTCTAAATGCTCTTTTTCACCACCTTCAGGGTGTGTCTGATTTCTTGCATGACATTGTCTGATGCTTACATAACCCTGCTACTCAACCATCAAGGTTATGGATGGTTTGTTATGGATGGAGCAAGTTTACAAGCTCAAAAAGCGTCAGGCTTACAGATTGCATTTAGAAGGACAGAATAATAGAATTGTTTCAGTTGAAAGGGGCCTTGAAGATGATCTAGTTCCAACACCCTTGCCATGGACATATTCAATTAGACCAGGTTGCTCAAAGCTCCACCCAACCTGGCCTTGAACACTCCCAGGGATAAGCATCCCTGGCTGCCTCACCACCCTCAGAGTAAAGAATTTTTTCCTTATATCTAATCTAAACCTGTTCCCTTTCCCTTTAAACCTATTCCCCCTTGTCCTGTCACTACATGCTCTTGTAAATAGTCTCTCTCCCTCTTTCTTCTATGCTCCCTTCTAGTACTGGAAGGCTGCAATACAGTCACCCTTAAGGCATCTCTTTTCCAGGCTGAACAAACCCAGTTCTCTCAGCCTTTCCATGTAGGAGAGGTGCTCCAGGGACTATTCATCTTGGTCATTTAGTTGTTGCTTTGTGAATTAAAAATAGAGTTGTAGTGCTCAGGGTGTAAGAGTGATCCAGAATTAAAGACCACACTACAAAGCCTTCCAGGCTGCCTGAGGAGCTGTCCTTCACTGTAGCCTTTGGTGCTCAATGTAAGGATTGGGTGCACAATGAGATGGGCTTTGCAGCACGTCTTCAGAAATAAGCCTGTTTATATACCCTTGAATTCGTGTCCAAGCACAAAAATAGGTGGTTTTTTGGTTGGTTTTTTTTTTAATTAATGTGTTGGACAGATAGTTAAGAAGTTAAATTAAATCACTGCAGCCCACATGGAAAGACGTTTGAAAGGGTCAAATACTACAATGGTTATTCATGTTCAGCTTGCTTTTCAGAGCTCCACTTCTTTAAAGCATGGCAGAGCAGCATGGGGTATTATTGCTGGGTAATCTGAAAGAATGAACATGGAAAACCATTAATGTTCAACCTACATGTGTTTATTTTCACTAGACTACAGTACTTCTTTCTTATTTTTCTCTTTTATTCTCTTTCCCTCTCCTTATTTTTATAATTGTACTGATACATATTTTTGAGATGTTTTTCCACTCTTCCTTTACTTCATCTTCTGGTTTTGTTGTGTGTTCTTCCATGTTTTTTCATTTTCTTGCCCATCTTGTGTTGCCATCTCTTTTTATCCATACATTTGCATGTCTGTCTTCCTTTCTGTTTTATTTTCCCTCTTCCCAAACTTCTTCCTTTTCACAGCATTGGAACACGGGAGATAGTCACCCAGAAGAACTTGAGTGGCTTGGTGCCCATCCGAGATTTCAGACTAGATCCCAGCCTCCTCTACTCTATTCCTTTACTAGCTCTCAGCCCCAATTTACTGATTGTGTGGCTGTTTCTGAGCATAGCATACCTGGTGGCCAGATTACGTTGCAAGTGAAGATAGAGTTCAAAAACAAACAACCAAACAAAAAAAAAAAAAA